ACCTGTTTTGAAATTAATTAAAAGAAAAGAAAAAGGGCTGGGCATGTAGCACAGAGGCAAAGCATCCCTGGGTTCAATCTAGATTTTTCCTGGCTGGACAAGCAAAATTGTTGATCTCCATAACAATCAGGAGTATCCTAGAGAAAGGGCTCAGTTCTGAGTAGAGGGTGCTTAAGAGCAAAGAGGAGGTGAGCATCCACAGCCCCTAAGGGGAGAAGGGCCCTCCAGGGATCTCCCTGTGGCAATGCAGTGAGATCCATCCCAGTAGAACTGGGGTTTCTTTTTTCTTTTTTTTTTTTTTTTAACCTTGTCATAATTCCCCAAACACTGTAATATTTATTTTTTAGTTTTCGGCGGACACAACATCTTTGTTGGTATGTGGTGCTGAGGATCGAACCTGTGCCGTATGCATGCCAGGTGAGCATGCTACCACTTGAGCCACATCCCACTGGAGCCACATCCCCAGCCCCAAGAACTGGGGTTTCCTTGGAGAGCCTGCTGGCGGGACCGGCATCCAGTTCCAGCGAGTTTTGCAAAAATTCTTTCCCCTCTGCTAGATGGTCCCTCTTCCCTCCTTTCATTCTGTCAGGGCAACTTTGTCTCGGATGCATTGCCCACTCTGTTCACATGGCACCTGTGTCCCCTCTACTTCCTATGGCCGAGGACATACTGGTCTCCCAGATGGAGGCTTTGTAGATTACCTAGTTTCAACAGAAATGTATTTTCTTTTTCCTAATTAGTTTTTCTAATTTTAATCCTTCGCTGTTAAATTAAGACAGCCCCTTGTGGAAGGTTTGCAAAATATAGAAAAGGGTAAAGAGGCAAATATAATTCTACTAGAAATAGATTGGTAGATATCTTTAGCTTTTCTTTCATTCTTTCTTCCTTTCTATTTTCCCCCCTATTGTTTCTCTGTATGGTACATGAAATCCACAGCGTGCTGTAAAAGTCTCCTGAGGGGTGAATTGGGGTTAGGATTTCCACAGGTGACTGCCTTTCATACATCCCTGGAGACACTGAGGCCTGCCAGTCTCTGGCCATGGGAGCAAGCCCAGGCCTCACACAGGCCAGAGTCTTTCCATGGGAATGATCTATGAGTTCTGGGTGTAAGGGTCCAGCGAAAAGTCGGAGGAAGAGACCACCAAGAGACTGACTCATGCAATTGCAGAAGGGGATTTATTGAGGATCCAATTCGCGCGCTGAGGCTCTAGGCTCACTGAAGAAGCGAGAGCAGCCCAGAGCCTAGAGCAGAGGCTAAGCAGTGCTTAAGTACACTTTTTGGGGAGGGCGGGGGCTTTGCATACATCAGAACAAATCAGCATGAGAAAAGGCGCGGGAAAATTGAACAACAACTCTCACACATGATTAGCACATTCTTTGGCGGGAACAGGTCGGGCGGGGTGATTGGTCTCTCCTAAGGGGGGGGTGCACATTCAAACTGATTGGTTCGGGCCCTGTATGCCTACGTGACAAGCTGCACAGGGCCCTAGGCTAAATGGCCAGTAGGGCGTTGTCTTAACTGCCTCAGGAATTTCAGGTTCTGGGTGTAGCAGAGGAATTAACAATGCCTGGTCCTTCACTTTTTAATTCAGGCTTTGCAGCTTAGAAACTTTACCCTTTCATGGGGAAGGAAGATTCCTTTTCTTCTGGAGCCTGGGCTGCAGTGCTGAATGACTGGAAGTATTGGTGGACAGTTTTCCTATGACAGATTAAAAAAATTAGTTGGTTGGGTATGGTGATCTGTTGTCTCAGCTACTCAGGAGGCTGAGGCAGGAGGATCCATTAAGCCTAGGAATTCAAGACCAGCCTCGGCAACATAGGGAAACACTTTTTATTTGGGGTACTGGGGATTGAACCCAGGGGTGCTCTACCACTGGCTACATCAACAGCCCTTTCTATTTTTTTTATTTTGAGACAGAGTCTTGCTAAATTGTTGAGGTTGGCCTAGAACTTTTGAATTGATTGCTGATACAATTGGGTTGTAGGGAGCACACACCCAGGAGTGTTAGAAATTAGCTAGGGGAGAGGGGTGCTGTTGCCCATGACTGTAATCCCAATCTCTGGGGAGGCTGAGGCTGAGGATGGGGCAGGAGGATCTAAAGTTTGAGAGCAGCCTGGGCAATCAAGCAAGACCCTATCTCAAAATAAAACAAAGAGGGCCTGGGTATAGCTTAGTGTTAAAGCACTTGCGTAGCATCAGTGAGGCCCTGGGTTTAATCCTCAACATTGGAAGAAAAAAAAAGAAGAAATTAAGGGGGGTTTCCATTATTTGTTATCAATATTATAAGGTTATGATGAAACTATTTCTTCCAAAAAATTCTGTTTTAGAGGAGAGAGACCTTATTACAAAATTCTCCCCTGCCCACTCCCTCCATCTCCATTCTTTGAATAACTGATAAAATCTGGAACATAGGGATGAATTTACCCTAACTACAAACAACAAAGAACCTAACTAAACTGGCTAGGCATGGTGGTGCCTGCCTGAAATCCCAGTAACTCAGGAGGCTGAGGCAGGAGGATCATAAGTTTGAGTCTAGCCTTAGCAACCTAGCAAGGCTCTAATCAACTTAGAGAGAACCTGTCTCAAAATAAAGGAAAAAACAAAAAGAGCCGTGGATGTAGCTCAGTGCTCTTGAGTTCGACTCCCAGTGCAAAAAAAAAGGGGGGCTGGCAATATAGTTCAGTTGGTAGAGTGCTTGCCTTGCATGTACAAGGCCCTGGGTTGGATCCCCAGAATCAAAAAGCAAAGAATATTTAGAAAGTACAGTGTAGTTTTTTTTTGTTGTTGTTGTTTTGTTTTTTTGTACCAGGGATTGAACTCAGCAGCACTTAACCACTAAGCCACATCCCCATCCCTGTGTTGTATTTTATCTAGAGACAGGGTCTCACTGAGTTGCTTAGCACCTTAATGAGTACTGAGGCTGGCTTTGAACTCTCAATCCTCCTGCCTCAGCCTCCCGAGCTGCTGGGATTATAGATGTGTGCCACTGTGCCTGGCTAAAAGTATTTATTATTATTATTATTATTTTATCCTTAGATGGAAACAATACATTATTTTATTTATTTATATGTGGTGCTGATGATCTAAACCAGTGCCTCATACATGCTAGGCAAGCGCTTTACCACTGAGCTATAACTCCAGCCTCTACAACGTACATTATTTAAGTGCAAATTAGCATCAAAGAAAATGTCCTAAAATCCCACTGTACAGCCGCAAACTGCAATTAACCTTTTGGCATATTTTATACCAGTTATTTTTTCTTTTTCCTTTTTTTTTTTTTTTCTCTTGACAGTACTGTGGATTGTACCCAGAATGCAATGGCTACAATCACCCTGGCCTTTTTTATTTTTTAAAGTTTTGAGACAAGGTCTTGCAACACAGAGCATGGGTAGGAGGGTTCTTTGTCTTAAGAATTCAAAGAATGGAATTCACAAACACAAAGGTGAAAGCTAAATAACAGGATTTAATAGAGTGATAGAAAGAAAGCAGAGCTCCCAAAGGGGAGGGGTCCCAAGAGAGGATTACCAATAGGTGTCTGTTGTCTAGGGTTTTGGGGAGCCCTTCAACTCTATTTTGTCTTATTTAGTAAATCTAGAGAAAAGTGGCCTGGCCAGCTGGGCTTGGAAGCTAGGTTTCCCAGTCCTCTCTTCCTCTTCTTTTTTTTTTTTTTTTTTAGAGAGAGAGAGAGAGAGAATTTTAATATTTATTTTTTAGTTTTCGGCGGACACAACATCTTTGTTTGTAATGTGGTGCTGAGGATCGAACCCGGGCCTCACGCATGCCAGACGGGCGCGCTACCGCTTGAGCCACATCCCCAGCCCCCTCTTCTCTTTCTTTTAGACCCTTTTCCTGGCTGCTTACCAGAGGTCTCTCTCTGTCTCATTTTCACTAAATTGCCCAGGTGGGCTTCAAACTTGTGGTCCTTCTTCCTCAGCCTCCTGAGTAGCTGGGATTATAAGTGTTTGCCACCCATGCCCAGCCAGATACTTTTTTTATAGAAAAATATTAGCGGGTAGTTTGCATAATTTTGATTATACAATCGTACAGTTTGAATTCTGCTTTTTTGTTGTTGCTTAACATCATATCAGAAACATTTCCCCACATCATTTAGAAAGTCTTTTTTGATTTTGTTTTTCATTTGTTCTTTTTGGTTATATATGACAACAGAATGTACTTTGACATAAGTACAGAGAGTATAACTTTTCAATTCTATTTTTTTTGGGGGGGGTACTGGGGATTGAACTCAGGGGCACTCAACCACTGAGCCATGTCCCCAGCCCTATTTTGTATTTTATTTAGAGACAGGGTCTCACTGAGTTGCTTAGTGCCTTACTTTAATTGAGGCTGGCTTTGAACTCCTGATCCTCCTGCCTGGGCCTCCAGAGCCACTGGGATTACAGGCGTATGCCACCGTGCCCAGCCTCTCCTTAGGCTTTTTAATGTGTTAAAATGATTAATGACTTTGTTATTCTGCAAAGGGACAGAGTAGGAAGACTCCCTAAATATTGCTAGTCCTAATGGTTCTGTTCTGTATTCACGAGTGGCCATAACTTGATGGGTTCCTGGGCATTGGTCATGTTCCAGAGTTTTGCTCAAGAGCAGTGACAGCAGTGACAGCCCTTCCTGCCCAGGTGCCTCAGCATCTTCTTGCTTTCCCTGAGTGTCCTTGTTGCCCACATTCTTCAAACTTGGAGACCCCTGAGCCTGAGCGTCACTTACTTTGGTATTTGAATCTGTGTCCTCTCTGATATTTATATACAAACAAAAACTGCAAAGGGATAATCAGACCTCACTTTTGTAGTCTGCTTTACCTTTTTATTTTTTTATTTTTTGAATTTTATTTATTTCTTTAATTCTTTCTTTTTTCTGATATTAGGAGTTGAACCCAGTGTCACCAGTGTTCATATTGTAAGGGTCCGGCGAAAAGTTGGAGGAAGAGACCACCAAGAGACTGACTCATGCAATTGCAGAAGGGAATTTATTGAGGATCCAATTCAGTGCGCTGAGGCTCCAGGCTCACTCAAGAAGCAAGAGCAGCCCAGAGCCCAGAGCAGAGGTTAAGCAGTGCTTAAGTACACTTTTTGGGGAGGGTGGAGGCTTTGCATACATCAGGACAAATCATCATGAGGCACGGGAAAATCAAACAACAATTCTTAAACTTGATTAGTACATTCATTGGCGGGAACAGGTAGTGGGGGGTGATTGGTCACTCCTAAGCAGGGTGCACATTCAAACTGATTGGTTCGGGCCCTGTATGCTTATGTGACAAGCTGCACAGGGCCCTAGGCTAAATGGCCAGTAGGGCTTTGTCTTAACTGCCTCAGGAATTTCAGGTTCTGGGTGTAGCAGAGGAACTTAACAATACCTGGTCCTTCACTTTTTAATTCAGGCCTTGCAGCTTAGAAACTTTACCCTTTCATTATATATGTGTGTGTGTGTGTGTGTGTGTGTGTACATATATATTTTACATATGCATACACACACATATATACATACCTATACACATATATACATTTTTATACACACACATACATATATGTATATATTTTAGTATTTTAATTGTAGTTGGATACAATATTTTATTGATCCATTTTTATGTGGTGCTGGGGACCCTGTCTTGCACACACTAGGTGAGTGCTCTACCAGTGAGTCACAACCCCAGTCCCTAATTTTTTTTTTCAACCTTTATTTTATTTATTTATTTGTAGTGCTGAGAACCCAGTGCCTCACATATGCTAGGCAAGCATTCCACCACTGAGCTACAACCCAAGCCCAGTGTTTTAACTTATTTATTTATTTATTTATTTATTTATTTAGTTGTAGATGAACACACACAATCTTTATTTATTTTTATGTGGTGCTGCGGACTGAAACCTGTGTCTCATACATGCGAGGCTAGCACTTTACCACTGAGCTGCAGCCTTAGCCCCATTAACTTTTTTATTTAAAACACATTTTTTTTTTTTTTTGCACACAGGGGATTGAAATCTTCAGCCTTGGCAAGCAATCTGGCAATCTGCCACTGAGCTACCTCCCCAAACCTTTTATAAAATTTTATTTTGAAGCTGGGCACCGTGGCACATGCCTGTAAGCACGGTGACTTGGGAGACTGAGGCAGGAGGATCCTGAGTTCAAAGTCAGCCTTAGCAATTTAGCAAAGCAACTCAGTAAGATCCTGTCTCAAAATATAAAAAAGGGCTGAGGAATGTGGCTCAGTGGTTAAGTGCCCTTGGGTTCAACCTCAGTACCTCCTCCCCCCAAAATTATTTTGAGACAGGGTCTCTAAGTTGCCAGGGCTGGCCTCCAAGTGTTACTGGAGTCCTAGGCCAGAGACTGACTCTGGGGATCCAATAAATCGTTTCCGGCAACTTGGCCCCAAACCCAAAGGTAATGGTGGAAAGCAGGAAAGGAACTTCAGTCTGTGTAGCTAGCCCGCTGTCTTCCAGGGCCTGATGGTGACTTGGAGGCTTTATAGAAAGGGGATTGAGGGTGATGGGGCGTCCACATTGGTGTCTACATAGCCCAGGGGCCCATCCAGCTGCCAGGGCAGGTGGGGCAGGTGATCTTCAAGCTGCTGAATCCAACTCACCTCAGGATGGGCTGGGCGGCCTTGACCAGATAAGGAAGTCCTGATGGCCTGGGGCTGGCTTCCCTTCCTTCTGAGTTATTTATGAACTCTGACCTTGTTCCTGGAATCCAAGGTGACCGGGGCAAAGAAGGTGGCTGCTAAAGGGAGGCAGAGATGCCAAGTCCTGCATCCTGCTTCAGGCCACCCAGGGGACCCGGGCAGGCAAAAATGAAGCATCCAGTCCTGTGACAGAGGGGCCACTCTATGCCTTGGATGACTTGTGTCCTGAGGTGGTCCAGGGCCAAGGTCTTGACCAAGGCGTCCCAGCATCAATATGCTACTAAAAAGGTAAAGCCCCAGAGGGGAGGGTGAGGGCAGGTAAAGAGGGGGTGGAAATGGTAAAAGATGCCTGTGACGAATGTGCCACGGTGAAACCCGTCATTGTGTGTAACTAATAGGCAGTGCTAGCAAAATTAAAAAGTAGCTGGGCGCAGTGGCACGCACCGTAACCCCTGCAACTGGGGAGGGTGAGGCCAGAGGATCACAAATTGTGTAACAAGAATTTAGACTCTTATCTGGTCAAGGCCTAGCCTGACCCAACTTGAGATAAGGATGTAACAGCACACCTGATCAAGATCACCTGCCTGGGCTGCTGTGCGGGCCCTCAGGCTATGTGGACGCCCACCATCCCCCTCATCCCCCTCTCTATTAGACCTTTAAGTCATCCTCAGCCCTTCAAAGCCAGGGTTAAGGACATGGGTCCACGTTTTCCCGTGCAGCTGTGCTGACTAAAGTTCCTCTTCGGCTTTGACTATTACTTTTTCTGTTTGATTTTTTGGGGAGAGTGGCTGGACCAGGTTTGTTGGCTCCTGAGTCAGGCCTCTGGCTTAGGAATCCAAAAACATATGCAGAGTGTACGTATATGTGTGTGTGTGAGAGAGAGAGAGAGAGAGATTGTGTGGTGTGCGTGTGTGTGTGTGTGTGTGTGTGTTTATTATGTGAGAGAAAGAGAGAGGTACTGCCATTGAACCCAGGGCCTTTTACCCCAGTCCTTTATTTACTTATTTATTTGTTTGTTTATTTTTGGTACTTGGGATTGAACCCAGGGGCACTCAACCACTGAGCCACATCCACAGCCCTATTTTGAATTTTTTATTAGAGATGGGGTCTCACTGAATTGCTTAGCACCTTGCCATTGCTGAGACTGGCTTTGAACCCATGATCCTCCTGTCTCAGACTTCCTAGCCGCTGGAATTTCAGGTGTGTGCCACCATGCCCAGCCACCCCAGTTCTTTTTATTTTGATACAGGTTTCTGCTAAGTTGCTCAGTCTGGCCTAGATCTTGTGACTCTCCTTCCTCAACCTCCCAGGTAGGCGGATTGCAGGTGCGCACCATCACCTGGCCATTCAATACACTTTTTGTATTCTCTGGATATGTAGATCTCGGGACTTTCCTGAGTTCCCCGAGCAAGTGTTGAATGACCATAATAGTTTGTAAGCGTTTGAGTTTTGTTTTGCAAACCCAGGGCCTGGCACATGCTAGAAAATCTGTCTACTACCGAGCCCCACTCGCAGCCTAGTGCTTTTAAAAGAATGTTTCATTTTGTAACATTTTCTTTTTTCCCTTAACAGGTAAGTTCACCCTCTGCTGCCCGGGCTGGCCCTGAAGTCCTGAGCTCCAGCAGATCCTTCCACCTCAAATTCCAGAGTAGCTAGGACTATGGATGAGACTGGTTTGTATTTTGTAACTTTGAAATAATGGTGTTGGTGGTCGGAGTTTGGAGAGAAGGTGGGAGAAACACTCAGGGAACATATTCTTTGATTTATAATATTATACTTTAGGTTTCCATTTCTAGTGGACAGTCATAGAAGAGAGCTTCAATTGTATAAGAATTCCTGCCATTTTTTGAAACAGCTTGTATTAAACCTCATGGGTTTTCTTACAGATAAAGAAAACATTGTCTGAAGCCTGGATGTGGAGAGTTTATGGCCTTCTCTGAAAAGGTCAATTGTTTTGTTTTTTTGGTACTGGACATTGAACCCAGGGTGTAATACCACTGTGCTGCAACCCCAGCCCTTTTTATTTTTTTTATTTTGAGAAGGGTCTCCCTAACTTGCTTAGGGCCTCACTAAGTTGCTGAGGGTTGCTTTGAACTTGACATTCTTCTGCCTCAGCCTCCCCAGTGGCTGGGTTTACAGACGTGTGCCACTGTGCCCAGCTACCCCGTATCTTTAAAGAAAGGAGATTTTGCGGGGTATCATAGTGCATGCCTGTAATTCCAGTGATTTGGGAGGCTGAGGCAGGAGGATTGCAAATTCGAGTTCAGCCTCAACAACTTAGGGTGGACCTTGGCAACTTATCAAGACCCTGTCTCAAAATTAAAAAAATAAATAAATAAATAAAATTGGCTGGCGATGTAGCTCAGTGATAAAGTACCTCTGGGTTTAAGCCCCAATAACACACACACACACACACATACACACACACACACCAAAAAAAAAAAAATGAAGCAAATTTATGATGGTCCATTATTGAGAATCTTTGTATGAATACCATGGCTTTTTCTGAGATAGGAGATCCTTGGGTATGAAACAGAACTGGGCTAGGCATGAAGCATCTGGATTCCTGGCCTCCTCTTGCCACTAATTATCTTCACAAGGTCAGGAAAGTGACATCTTTTTCGAGCCTCGCTTTGTCACTTGTAAAATCTGTGTGCACGGTAAGAACCCGGCGCTGGAGGATCTGTTTATTCCCTCTTGGTCCTGTGCTGCTGTGTGACCCTGAGCAAAGCCCTTGCCTTCTGGTTCATTTATAAACTGGTTGGAGAACTTCGTCCTGAGTGCTTACCAGGGGCGCGTGTGAACAATCCGTCCCTGTCCCTATCCTCCTAGGCCTATGAGTGTCGTTGAGGAGGCAGATGGTGCACACACAGTCACAACAGTGAGTCATTAATGTCAACTCTGAGAAGTGCTCTGAGGAGAAGTGCTGTTGATGGAATAATGGGGAGGCCTGGTCTAGGGAAGTGGCAGCAGGGGAGAGCCCCAGGCAAGCTTCTCCCAGGAAGTGACCTCGAGGCTGACTGGGGGATGAGCCTGTGGAGTGCTTCCCTTTTCATTTAGAAAAAGTGAGACCCATGATGGAGATTGCCAGGGCCCAGCGGAGGCTCTGGCCTTCCTCCTTTTTCGAGAACCTCAGCATTACTGGCTACATTTCCAGAAAATTTTGCAGGTATTCCTGGCCTTGTGACCAATTCTGGCTGTTGGCAATGTCACTTGAGGGATGCATCCTCAAAGGAAGATGGTAGGCCTCTAATTTTTTTTTAAACTGGGGATTGAACCCAGCGCCCTCTACCACTGAACTACATTCTCAGTCTCAGTCTCAGTGTCTTGCTAAGTTGCTCAGTACCTTGCTAAATTGCTGAGGCTGGCCTCCAGTTTGCAGTCCTCCTGCTTCAGCCTCCTGAGTTGCTGGGATCACAAGTGTGGGTCACCACACCTGGTTCTTCTTCCCACTCTCTACCCTGTGACTTGGAACAACACATGAGAGGTGAGCTCTCTTTGGCCCTGTGGGCAGGGCAACATCCTGGAATGATGGGATAGTGACTGTGACCCACTCCCCCTAATTACCTATGCCCTGTTTCTATCTGAAAGAGAAATAAACTTCAACTTTCCTTTAAGCCATTTTTTTAGGGGAAATGGGGGAGGTAGACCTCAATTATACGTAGTTGAACCTAAATTCTAACCAATACAGTGTGCCCAGCAAATCATTAAAATGGAAGGAAGGAGACCGGGGCTGGGCACATGGCTCCGTGGTAGAGCGCTTGCTAAGGGTGCACAAGGCCTTGGACTCCATGCCCGGCACTGGAGAAAAGTAAAAGAGAATGTGATGAAACTGAATTCTTCTCATGTTTCAGACACTTCAGAGTTGCCTTATGACATCCTGGCGCTCAGCCGAGTGTCACACCTCAAGTGCGAAGTGACGAGTCCTCAAAAGAGCAGGCCCAGGCATCCTTTGCTAGGCTCATGGTACCTTTAACAATGTTTTTGGGGATATTACTTACTGCCTTGGCCACCAGTTCATATTGCATCCCCCCATCTTTTTTTGGCTCTAGGGATTGAACCCTGGAATGTTCTGCCTCTGAGCTACATCCCCAGACTATTTTATTCCATTGGTACCAGGGATGGAACTCAGGGGTGTTTCACCAGTGTGCAACGTCCCCAGCCCTTTTTATTATTCATTTAAAAATATTTTTATTAGCTATGGATGGACCTTTTCTTATTTATTTATTTATTTATTTGTATTTGGAGCTAAGAATCAAACCCGGTGCCTCACACATGCTAGGCAAGTGCACTACCACCGAGCCACAACCTTAGCCCTTTATTTTTTATTTTGAGATAGGGTCTCACAGAGTTGCTCAGGGCCTCACTAAGCTGCTGAGGCTGGCTCTGAATTTGCAATCCTCCTGCCTCAGCCTCCCACGTCACTGGGATTACAGGTGTGCACCACCATGCCTAACTCTTCCCTAGCCCTTAATTTTTTTTTTTTTTTTTTTTAAATTTTCAGACAGAGTCTTGATAAGTTGTCTGGGCTGACCTAAAACTTGTGATTCTCTTGGCTCAGCCCCCAAACACCTTGGCTCCCAGGTGAACGCCACTCCATCTGGCTTTTGCTGACATTTTGTCTGGCTCTATGATATCTAAGGTCACTTCAAAATTCAGCTCCATTCAGTGAAGCCTGTTGGAGGAGTTCAGGTCTGAAGGCCTGATTTTAACAGCACTTTGATGTGTGAAGCATTTTACTTAACAACACCGAAACCTTCCTCACTACCACACACCACACACACACACACACACACACACACAAAATTCCTTTGGACAAATGAGTTCTGTTGAGAATTTGATATAATGGTTGACTTTTACCATCACTTCACATTATTAGCAAAAGTATAAACATTAATCCCAGAAAAGTCAAGCAACATGAAGAACAGGCGACTAGGATCCTCTTGTGAGAGCCGCTTGTCCTTGGTGGAGCAACAGTGTTTGGCGGTATTGTGAGAAATACGCAAATATCTCAAAAGAGTGTCAAGCTCATCTACACTCTGCATGTGCACAGCCCCCCACTCCCACACAGCTTGCCGTTTATTTCTCTAGAATGCAACTGGATTCACGTGGGATTAAGACTCAGTGTAGAAGTGAATTCTGGAAGTGAATAGATTATGGGAACCTTGGCTGCATGGTCCATCATATCTGGGTGGGTCCAGGAGTTTACCTGGCACCATTATCACCAGAGCTAAAGGGATTCATCTTGCATTACAGAGAAAGTCAGCTGGAGAGTCCAATGTAGAATCTCGTAATCGGATTTGTGCCCTGTGTTAGTTGATTCTGAAAAGAATTCAGTCAAATAAAAGCAATGCATTAGAGAACGCTGTTTTTGAGCAAAAGATTTTGTGAAATAGCACAGATCCATTGACCATAAGTAATTAGTCAATTGATCATTCCATTACTATGTATTGAACACCTGTGGCGTGAAGAGGACTATTGTGAGAGAAACATAATCCTGGGGCAGCCGCAATGGCGTGTGTGTATCTTCTATAGTGTTCATTTCCAACTGAGCCCAAAGTCTTTGCCATAAAAACATTGTTTCTGAATAGTTGCAAACAGTTAAGTGCAGCACTGCGTGCTCTGGTGCACATCTGTAAGCCCAGCCACTGGAGAGGCTGAGGAAGGAGGTCGGCAAGTTGAAGTCCAGTCTGGACAACGTAGCATGCCCTGTCTCAAAAAAGAAGGGCTGGGGATGCAGCTCATTGGTACAGTGCTTACCTAGAATGTAGGGGGCACTGGGTTCAATCCCCAGCACTGCTTAAAAAAGAAATAAAGATCACTTGAAGAATAAGAATAAAAAAAAATTCCTCTTTTCTCTTGATTTTTGGGATGCTGGGGATTGAACCCAGGGTCTTGTGCATGCTAAGCACACACAGCACCACTGAATAATACCCCCAACCTCCAAACAAGAATTTGATCTTAGCTCCGTGTGTTGGCCAGCTTTCCATCACTCCAACAAATACCTGAAATCAAATTAGCTTCTACCGGAATAAAGTTTCTTTTTGCTCAGTTATGGAGGCTTCAGTGCTTGAGTGGTTGGCCCCGCTGGTTTGAGTCTGCTGTAAGGCAGAGCATCACAGTGGGAGGCTGGGGCTGAGCAAAGCTGCTCAGTGTGTCCAGGAAGTAAAAGAGAGAGAGGAGAAAGGGCCAGGGGCCCACAGTCCCCTCAGAGGGCACAGCCCCTGGGAACTAACAAATTTCCAAAATGTTCCACCTCTTAAAGGTTTTACCCCCTCCCAATAGTGCTCCCCTAGATATGAAGCCTCCGTCATACCAGGCTTTTTGGGACACTTAGGATCCTCTATAGCATCCCCACTGTCCATTTCCCATGGTGTGAGGCACTCCACCCAATCCTCCTGTCTCAGCCTCCGGAGCCGCTGGAGTTACAGGCGTGCACTCTGCCTGTCTTTTTTTTTTTTTTTTTTTTAAAGAGAGAGAGAATTTTTGATATTTATTTTTCAGTTTTTGGCGGACACGACATCTTTGTTTGTATGTGGTGCTGAGAATTGAACCTGGGCTGCACACATGCCAGGCAAGCGCAATACTGCTTGAGCCACATCCCCAGCCCCTCTGCCTGTCTTTTTGCCTCATCTCTTACTGCTTGTCTCTTCTCTCTATTCTCTGGCCCCCTTTACTGGAGCTCTCTCTGCCTTTCTATGCAGGGCTCATCCTTCCTGAAATGCCCATCTTTTTCTTTTTGCCTTAATTCCTTCTCATTTTTCAAATTTAATGAAGTATATACCTGAATGAACTGAAAGCGAGCCAGGTATACCTGTAATCCTAGCAACTCAGGAGGCTGAGGCAGAAGGATCATGAATTTGAGGCCAGCCTCAGCACCGGAGACCCTATCTCAATATAAAAAATA